ACCATCCTTTGCAATAAACCTTGGCAGAGGCCTTTCAGGAAGGCCCACGTGGCCTATTATTTAAAGGGTACGTCAAATGGATATTTTATCTGGTTTAATCGGATTTAAACTTACTACATTCAGATTGATAGAATGTATTTATAGCCTTCATACCAGCGCATGTGACCCCCCCCTCCTCACCGTCTGCCTTCCTTGCCTCTCTAACATTCAAGGGTGTGTGTATGTGTGTAAACGTACTGAAATACAACATTTGAATTCCCAACCCTTCCACATTTAGTGCCACAAGAGGCAAACATTCAGAACATGAAATACTCCAACTATATATAGCTTGAGGCTCCAGCTCAAGACCAGCATTTAGGGCAAAGGGAAGGAGGATTGTGGGGTGGGCAGGGGGTTGCAGAGTCTCTAATCCTGCTTTAAGTTTCTTTGCAAGTGTAACAGCTTTGATACAGCACCGCCAAAGCGCCATTAATAGCTGGTGCTTCACCTTCTAAACAAGCAGCTGTGATCGGAGAAAGCTCCTGGAAAGGAAAGGCTTGTGGAAAGAAAAAATACTGAAAGTTTGCAGTGTGCCAATAGAATAGCCTGAGCCATACACACAGAAAATTCTGTTCTATATTAAAACCAGCATTCACTCAATAGATAGTTGAAAGAGGGAGAGAGAAAGCTGATAGATTTTTGTTCGTGTTTGTACAACCAGGGTTTGGGGGAGCCAGAGAAACCCTGCAGAATAAATGAAAGTCTTGTGTACAGTGCAAGCTTTAAAGAATGCCTCCATTACAGCGAAGCTTGTTTTCCCCCACCCTGCATTCTCTTTCTCCCTAAAAAATACCATCAGGATGTTGATTTAAACATGGAGAGGGTTGAAAGAAAGAAGGAATCAACTAGAAAAGAAAGAAGCCTGAGTCTGAGGAGTGAAACCCAGGGTCTAATATTAAAAAGAAGCCAGAGGTGTAGGAAGATTGACAATCTTAAAGGGCCTGAAGAGGCCTTTGAAAGCAAGCCCACCAGTAGTTCTGCTTGGACTGCAGCAGTCAGGCTAATTAAAAATAAAAAGTTTGCCTGGGAGCATATAAAACACCCATGGGGATGTAAAAACCTGAGCACACAATGGTTCTCTCGCCACAAAGACATTATACACCCCATCTCACCGCTCTCGGGTGCTTCTCCTAATTTCCCTCTGGACCTTAAATCCCCCCATTCTCCCTTCCCCTTGACAGACACAGAGATACAGGGGCTGAGGAGGAAGCTGGAGCAAAACAGCATCTATTTAAAGCAGTTATTTCACAAAACAGAACTAGACTCCAGCTAACAACCCCAGCCCTAAGGGAGGAGAATAAATTCCCTTTTTTTAAAAAAAGAAAAGCATAATTAAAGTGACCTACAAAGACTTTTAGCTGCAGTGGGGAATAGGCTGCACCGAACTCAGCCTTAATGGTATTTACACATAGGTAAGTTCCAGCTAAATGCTGGTTCAGCTGTTATTGTTTTAACTCTCCCTCTCCCCTGTGGGGATATGAGAGACACGCTTCTTCTGAAGGCTGACTTTATTACGATGAAGTGGTAAGGCAAAACAGGGCTTTGATAAGTCTGGCAAGTTCTTCTTTTTAAAAACAACAACACACAAAACCCATAAGCAACAAATATAGTAAAATAGGAGTTTCTGAGATGCAGAAGCCGGGGCAGCGTGAGCGCACCTGCACACGCAAGCGTTGGCGGAAGCGCCGCATCCCTTGCGCCGGATAAGTCCCTCACTGGCCGGCCCTAGATGAGGCCGACAGGCAACGACTCTTGCGCTTGTTTGGGACCACGGCGGTGCGCGCCGGCTGCCCGGCCAAGTGCACGTGTGAGCGCGCGCGCGAGTGCATCCATTTGCAAACGGGGGGCGTCAGCTGTAGTGGGATCGTGGAAAAGGGGTAGGGGCTGGGAACGCTTCTTTCACAAAATAAATAAGAGCCGGGGAGGCAGTGGAGAGAGGAAGGCGATCGAAGCCGCCACCCGAACGACCCCCCGCCCCACTTTTTTTTTTTTTTTTTAGCCCACGGAGCCAGTCAAGGAGTGGCTGGCGGATGGAAGGGGCGCGCTTTCTCTTACCCCCACGGCCCTCGCCGCCTTGCGCAGCGAGCATCCATCTCCACGCCGGCTCCCCAAACGTCCCTCGCAACTCCCGAGGGGCTCTCCCAACAGCAACAGCGGCTGTGCATGCGCGTTGCCGCTTTGCAGAGCCCGCTCGCATCCCGCTTCATTTCAAAATCGCGGGAGCTCCATGGCGACTTCCCTTCTGGCGATCCGGCCTCCACGAAAGAGCTGGAGGGGAATCGGGCCCCTGAATATACTTCCCCGGCCGCCGCCCCTCCCCCAGACAAGAAAGGGAGCGGGGTGCGTGGGTGGGATTCCCCTTCCCCGGACGCCGTGGGTGCAGGCAGAGCGCGCGAGAGAAGTCGCTGGGGGTTGTCTAGAAGCATAAACCGGATTGCAACCATATTAGACTTTGGCAATGTGGTTCTAATAACCGTTTAGGAAAGCCCGTCTGGCGGCCGGTCTCCAACAGCAGCAGCGGCGGCACTTCAGGCCCGCGCTTGGCTTGCAACCCCGCTTCTGTGCGGGCACAGCGTCAACAAGTAACCGAAGCGGGAGGGAGGGCACCACAGCTCGCACCGGCGGCGGCGGCAGCGGGTGCTTCGCCCGAGGGGAATGGGCGACTCAAAGCGGGAGGAGGGGGGCAATATTGAGCAGCCCAACGAAATGGAAAGCAGCTTCGTCTCCCAAGAGGAGGAGGAGGACATAGTTTTGTACACATTACGCACGCAAACCGAAAAGTGCATCTCTCTCTTTACCAACAACAAGTTGAAGGGAGCCGAGCCATGTGGGCACGGGTATCCTTGGGCCATCCCCAACCCACCGCCTCCCCTGTTTTGCCCAGGACGAAGCTCTGAAAGGGTTAATCGGCGGCGTCTCTCTCGCCTCGTAAATCTGGAAAAGGGAGCGGGGGGAGAGAGGCGGCGGCGGCGGCGACAGCAACAGCACACAGGCAAGGAATTACGAAGTCGCGAACCGGGCTGGTGGGGAAACCTATTGCTACATCCATCCTCTCGCTCCTTCCTGCGCTCTGTGGGCACCATTTACTTTCTCTTGCTGCTGCAGGTGCTTTTGGAGAGGGGGGAAAACTTTGATCTGAGCCTAGCTAAGCCCCCTCCCTGCACTCCCCCAAAGCAGGAAATCGTGCAACACACACACCGACCCCGCGTCACTTACCGTAGACCCCTTGTCCCCTGGTGTACACCGGGACCAGAGAGAGGAATAAAACCCAAATAGTCTCCATCTTCAAGGCAGAAGCTTCATAGCCTGCGAAGAAGAACAGACCAAGCACCACCTCCAAAAAAAGCCCAGACAGCATCAGGCGGTGGATTCGAGAGACGCAGGCGAGAAGGCTTTTCCTGAACCGGCTCTGCTATTTTGCGCTTTTGTAGATATATAGATATACTGTATATTAAAAATGCCCACCACTTCCTGGGGCTCGAAGCAGGAAGAGATGGATCCAGCGAAAGGAAGGGAGCCTTGGCTGGTCACAGGGCGCCTCAGCCCGGCTTAGCCAAGTCAACTCCAGCCAGTGCTTCTCGGGAAGCTCGCGATCTCCTCCACGCACGCACACACAAGAGAGCGAGGGAGCGAGTCAATTTGAACGAAGAGAAATATCCGCCCTCCCCAAACGGGGAGCAGTAATTGCAAGTGTAAAAGGTGCGAGGAAGGGAGGAGAGGAAAAGCCAGCGAGGGATCTGGTTTCTCCCCCCCTCTCCTCCCCCTTCTCCTCGCTCCCCGTCTTGGCTTTCGCCGGATCCCGGAGTCCTCCCAGAAGAAAACAAACAGAACTTCACGCCCAGACGTGCAACGGCGACGAAATAACAAGGCGATTCAAAACCAGAAGGCACAAGACGAAGCGATCCAGTGGCGACGCAAAATCCACAGAGAACTTCCGCGGGTTTCCCCCCTTTTCTGGCTGCGCTCCGATTCCTTTCAAGCAGAGGGAGTCGTATTTGTTGGGGGGGGCGGAGGGAGAGAGACGTCAAGTGCTTTCTGAACTCCCCAGCTTCCCAAACTCAATCGCCTGCCAACTGGGGCCAACTTGAGAGATGCAACAACGACGGAGAGCGAGGGAGACACACGGACTCCTCGCCCTCCCTCCTACTAATGAGCCTCTGGCTGCAACCCCAGGAGCGAACAAGGGGGCGCGAGGAGGGAGGGGAGGCGGGTGCGCGCGTGTGTGAGAGAGATGGGGAGGGAGGTGCGGAGAAGGAAACCGAGAGGCAGCTGCTGGGGCAATAGGTAATCCTCCTCTTCTTGCCTCCAGCTGCTTTCTCTCCCTTTCCCCCCGATTTTGGAATTAATTAAATGCAGGGATGACTTTTGCTGCGTGTGGTGGTTTTGTGTGTGCTGTTTTCCCCCCTCCAAAGAAGCATCTCCCGTTCCCAGCTCCTTCAAAGCTGCCGAGCTCCGCTCTCTCCAGGCTGAAGTTGCTCAGTTGCAGTGCATCGCATGCCTGCCTGATAGTGGAGGAGGAGGAACGAGGGCCAGACACAACACTCGCTCCGCTTGCCGCGCTTCCCTCCCCTCCTTCGACCTCTCGGCCCCCTTGCTCTCGTTTTTGCCCGAATCAGCGGGTCAGATTTATCCAAAGTTTTAGCGCGTTGGACTGACGTTTTGGCAGCTGGGAAGTTCCCTCCCTCTTCCCTCTCCTTTTGCAATTTATAAAATCTCTTTTTTCCTAATGTGTTGTTTTCTCTTTGTTCTCTACAGATGGGAGACAGAAACGTTCCATCTCGAATGTAACTTCTGAAAGAGAGGAGGGGAGTGAACAGGGCAAGAGGACTGAGAAACTTGCAGAAAGCAGCTTTTCACTGCAAAGGACGGTCTGTAATAGGGGCGTGGCAAGCCTTGGCTCCTCCCCCTTCCTAGAAGAACGTGTGTGTATATATAGCAAGCGCACAACTACAATACTGCACCCCCAGTTCTGTTCCGCTTATAGAAGGTTCTGCGCGGTGTAACTCAATACCTGCTTCGCCGTGATCTGCTCTAGAAGGCAGGTCAGCCTTCCAGAAACTTACGGGTCGCTCGGCCGGGAGAACTCGCTCTCTTCTCGTACTAGCAGTCACCTTTCCCCCAGATCGCCAAGATGACTCGGGAGGAAAGTCGAATCTCCTGAGCCTTTTGCTCAGCTCGAGCGCGAAGCAGGCGCCCTCTTCTAATCGCAGTCCCTACCCTGAAGTAAGCCTGCAATCCTCCAGGATCTGCCTGTTAACCCGGCTGCCTCCCTCCGTCTACCCTCCCCACCCCTCCACTTTCGCTCGTTCTCCCATCTTCGCGAGTCCCTTCTAGTTTTGAAAAAGAAAGGGAGCCAATTAAATCAACTCTGCTCCAGCGGAGTCCTGCCTCCTACCCAATTCTCCCGGCCTCCCCCAGGGCCAATTAGAGAAAACAAAACAAGGCTGACAGAAAACGGATCTATCTGGTTATATCCCCCCCCCCCCGCTTTTTTTTCATTCCTTTCTGCAAGGAAATGCCAGGAATCGGCCGAGGTTTAAGCCGTCCACGCTAAAACGCACAACGCGGTCGGCTGCACCGCTTCGGCGCCCGGCCTCGTTCTTTGGAAGAGCGTCGCGGGCGGAGAGCCAGGCCGGAGGAACAGACCGCGGCGGCGGCGGCGACTGTGGGTGTATGGGCTCCCCAGCCACCGCGATCTATAGGTTTGTCTTGCAGGGGGTGTCGCGAGGGGCACGCGGATCCCGCCGGGGAGGAAGGATCCGCACGGTGCGCTCTGCACATTCTCCTTGCGCGCGCGCTTGCACCTGTTGTGTGGCTGCTCATTGCGCGCTGCGAGAGCGCGGAGGCCCGCCGCGCTTGCAAGCCCATCAGCGATGCAAGGGGCGTCTGCAACACGCTTACGCTGCTGCTGCTGCTGTACTGGTACACGTTCGTCCACTCCGCTTCGTACGTGTCTGTGTGTCTGCGCGTTACGCCGCTCTAGCGCTCCTGCGAGGCTTTTGCGCCCGGGGGAGACGCCTGGCCCGTGATGCATGCATGCATGCACCCTCGACTCCCAAGCAGCGGTGCCGGTGTGTCTGTTTTTTTTTCTTTTTTCTTTCCTCACCCCCACCCCACTTTGCTGCAAATCTTTCTCCACAGGCGAAGATCCGAGGCGACCATTTCGCCGTTCGAGGCCGTCGGGGGAGGACTTCTCTCAGTAGGCAATTCTGGAAGTGGAGCAAGTCCTTCCAAAAGGCTCTGTAGCCAGAGTCACCCGCCTTCCTCGCAGGTGGGCGTCTGGGCAGGATTATGCAAGATGTCGTGTCCCGGGTGAACAGAGCAGAGCAAAACTCCTGGAACGCAGTCTGGCTGGTCCCTTCCTTCAAACTCTCTAGGTTTGGTTTCCATTTTTCAGGATTTTATTTTGCAACTTTCCTGCTTCCAGCGATTCCCCCTTCTCCTGTTCATTAGGTCAAGAGGATTCTCCTCCCCACAATCCTATTTTAATCTTTTTATAAATGAACGTTTTATATTCCACACCCGAGATGAGGGAAGTGTTAAATCAAAATTTCCTCAAGGAACAAACCTTTAATTTTCAAATTACACCAAGATCCCATTTTAAATGATCCCATTTTAGAATGATGGGGTGAAGATGTGCAGACAATGTAAGCGAGGCTGTTAAAATATTAATCAAGAAGTGCCTACTTGCTTTATAGAAACTGATGATGCAGAAATAGTTCCGTTAAGTTTTACTCTCTACCCAGCCCAAATACATTTCCTGAAATAATTGAACTCCCATCAGCCAGTCCCTGTCTTAAAATAGCGCTGTAAAGCATTATTTTCTCCCATCACAATAAACGGATTTGAGCTACCTGCAAGTAATGGGGAATATATATTTCAGCATGAGACCTTGTGATGGTGAGGAAACGGGGCTGTTATTGCAAACGTTTATTCTTTCTACTGAACTCCTAGCAGTGAGGAAATAGATATTTTTGATCATTGTGCAACTGAGTATCTGGAGGTGTGTTATAGATACACTGATTATTTTCCACTTTTTCTGTAACAAGCAGCATCAGTCCACCTGGGTTTGTTGTTCTTGTTTTTTGCACAAATAAATAAGTCACAAGACATCTGGGGTTGAGAAGGAGGGAGCGTGTGCTTCTTGATTCCCCCGCCCCCATATGTTTGTCTCTGTTTCATTTTTACCTATCTAATGCGATCTCATCTGTAGTGAGATCTGTCCGTGGGGATCCACATAAGGGGCCCCTGCAGACTTGTCATTGATGTAATAGTAATAGTGCATTCATGCTGGATTTATATTGAACCATCCACACATCATCCCACTTTATTATTGTTCTGCAGTGCTAATGTTAACACTTAATTGCCGTCTGTAGCAGCACTCTTGTTCTATAGAGCAGAACAAAAAACAACCAGGAAATTCGTGGTATGGAAGGCTACAGGATTTTAGCAGATTTCTGCACCTCTTGCAAACAAAGCTGCATGACCGCCCAAAAACATTTGCTGTCAAAAATAGCACTGAAAGTCATGGCCCGGTGTAACTGCCCTGGTAACCTCTTGAGCACAACTCATGATGAACGTGCAACGAAAAGGATGTCTGGAGGTCCCGAAGCAGCATTCAGCCCTGCCTCTTGTTTGTCTTCAGTTTCACCTTTGCCAAGAATCCCAACTTCCGCAGCTGAATTCCTAATAATCTTTTCTCATTCCACGAGGAAGAAGTGCAGCTGCCAGGACATGTGAACACAAGCAAGCCGGTTGGAACCAACAGTAGCTGAACATTGGGGTTTTCCAAAGTGGCAAGCCCTGCGGGTCACATGCAGCAGTTATTGGGCACCATTGAAAGGGATCAAATTTCCAGCTGCCCAGTGCCTTTTTGGATTTTCTGCCTCAGTCACCAAAAGCTTTTGAGCAGGCTTTGCAGGGTAGTGCATCTCTACACTCTAAGCACTTGAATGTCGGCAAAACATTGGCTTTCAGTGAAGCCCAACAGATTTATTTCACCAAAGACTATTTCTGATTTCATGTAAGAGACTCGAGACACACTTTTTACTCATTTGTATGGCAGTTTGAATTTAGTTCTTGATTTCATTTATAGCTGTCTTCTGTGGAACTCACGCCATGAGGTTCCTAAGACTATGTAGTCCCAAATGCATCCACTGACCAGACTCAGAGCTGCTTAGCAAACACACAGAGCCAGATGTCTCGTTAGGCAGACTCCATCAGATGGTGGAGGTGGCAAGGCATCGGAAGATGGAGCTGAATGTGCCATGTGGTCTGCCCTCCACCCCATCACCCAGTCTGCTGCTTTCATCTGGTCATTTACTGCATGTGGAATGAGGAGGCAGGGGTGGCACAGTTTATTTGTATGCTGCCATTCCTTAGTCAAACCATACTCAAGGCAGCATGCAAGATCAAAAGATTTTATGTATTTCCAGAAATAGTACAGAAGTTAAGTAATCAGAAGCAATACATGGAAACTTGTCAGTAAGTATATGGTAAAATTAAACAATCCACACATAATTCATAGTAAGATCTATCAGTAAATATGCAAATATAACGATTAAGAGCATAAAAAAGCATCTTCCTAAAGTAAATCTTGACCCCAACAAAAAACACCTAAGCAATACTCTACCCCAGGAGTCTATAGGCATCTTGAGAAGCAGAGCTCACAGGGAAGCAGCTTTTGCAGCTGGAGTCAGACGGGGCCCTGCCCTTCCAAATCTGGTGGAAAAAGGCCAGAAGAGCTGGTCTTGTAGGACTTGCAGCAAAGAGAGGAGCAGGACTAGAGCAAATGTGGTCTCTGGGCCAGATCTAGGAAGCAAAGTGTCTGCATCATGTAATGCCAGAACATGCCCAATTTTTTACAGCCTTTGACTTACCTGTTTACAAGGACGCAATATTACTGTGCCCTCAGCCGCTTGGTAAGTAACTGGCTGTCCAAGCTCAGCACACTGCCCATTGGACCATACCACATTAGGTTGCCTTATCAGTTACAGAAATTGAAAATAACATCTTGGCATCCGTCATGTTCAAAAGTGCCACTGGGTACCCCTCACTGACTAATTCATCTATGGTCTACACAGAGCAGCACCACCTATACCAGTGATGACCAAACTTGGCCCTCCAGCTGTTTTGGGACTACAGTTCCCATCATCCTTAGCTAACAGGACCAGTGGTCAGGGATGATTGGAATTGTAGTCCCAAAACATCACTGACCTATACACACTCTCTCTCTCTCTCTCTCTCTCTCTCTCTCTCTATATATATATATATATAAGCTTTGCAATATATCTGTGGCAAAGGTAGCTGTCTCAACAATCACACCCATTAATACATCACTGTGCACAATGGACCATCCGCTACGAGGTGTTGCCACCATCACTCTGCTTCGTCTCGCTGGAATAAGAAAGCATGCTGCAAAAGAGATGTGATGCCCTGGGGGGGGGGTGTATTTGTAAAAGGTAGGCTGGCAGGTATTGATTTACTCTATGAACGAGAATTATTCCCAGGGTTATGGAGCGTTATAGCCCAGCCAAAGGCTGGTTACTAATTCATGCTCTAACAAATAAGCAGTTAACAGATATAGCTGCTAATTAGTAAGCAGTTATTTCTATTATAAATGGCATTCAGTCGTGGAAAGGAGCAGTTAGCTTGCATCAGCAACGGGCGAGCAAGAGTTGACTGAATAGCTCTCACAAAATGACCAATTTCCCTTCAATGGAGGAGGTGGAGCACATAGGGCTTGTAGCTGAGACCGCTTTCTTTCTTCAAGCTGACAGAAGGCTTAAATGATTTGCAAAAGCCCACATCTTAAATATTTTAATGCACTACACTTACAGGTACTGCTTGATAAAGGGGGGGGTTTGCACAGGAGGGGGGTGGATTTAAATTCTAATGTACTTCTAAAATCCCTTTTTGCCTTTGCAGTCTGTGATATGCAACCCAACTCCTGTGGTTGTTTCCAAGGTTTGTTGTTGGATTACCAGTCATGACTTCTGTGAAGAAAACAAACCATGAATGCTGGTTCATGCAGCACAGTAAACCAAGGCTTGTGGCTTGTTGCGCCTGGTTCCAGAAAGAAGAGGAACAGAATAGAATAGGAGAAATTTAGTAGTGTGCACTAGTACACAGCTTGTGATACAAGAATGGGTCCATTGTGTTTGCCTAAAACAGCAAAATAATAGCATGTTTGATAATAGTGATAGGCATTCCACATTGTAACTAGAAGGTTTTGAAAGGACATGCGCAAAAAGGGCAGCCATAATGATCAAGAGGCTGGAGCAACACCCTTACAAGGAAATTTAGTTTAGCAAAAAAGAGAAGGGGAGACACCTGCTGAGAGTCTAAGGGTCCTGCTCCAGCCTTTCTCCACCAGGCCTAGCGGGGAGGACTGCTGCTACCCAGCAGAGAGTACTGTTTACATCAGGCATAGACAAACTCGGCCCTCCAGATGTTTTGGGACTACAACTCCCATCATCCCTGACCACTGGTCCTGTTAGGGATGATGTGAGTTGTAGTCCCAAAACTTCTGGAGGACCGAGTTTACCTATGCCTGGTTTACATTCTTTTAAACTGCTTTTTAATTGTGTGTGTTTTTTAAAAAGATAAAATTGTTTTTGATGTTTTTTATGTGTTTGTGTTTTTTTGGGGGGGGTGGCATTTGATTGTTTCTATTTTGATTCCCATATTTACTTGAATCTAATGCTCACCTTTTTTGGCCAAATTACGTTGCAAAAATTAAGGTGCACATTAGATTCGATGGCACATTTACATTTGCCATTATGTTTTTGGTTTCAAGGTTCTGAAAATTGAGGTGCGCATTAGATTTGATGGTGCATCAGACTCAAGCAAATACGGTTTGTATTTTGTGTTTTGTCTTGTGAATACCAGAACACGGACTCATCCCATGAAACTTAAAAGTGGGAGATTCAGGACACAAAACAGAAAGGACTTCTTCATACAGCACATGGTTATAACTATGAAATTCACTTCTGCAATATATGGCAATGGTCACCAGTTTGGATGGTTTTTAAAGGGAATTTATTTCCTGCCCTTCACCTTAAAAACAACTTACAATAAAAAAATAAGCTGGTTTTAAAACACATACACCTTGAGTATTTTAAAAGTCAGGGTAAAATGTAGGGTCTTCAGCATTTTCTGGTAGCTGTATAATGAAGGTGCCAGAGGAACAGCCCACAGCTTAGGGCCCTCCACAGATAATGCCCTTTGCCAGGCTGCTGCCCCATAGCCTTGAAGGACAGAAGGATGGATAGCAGGATCAGAGGCACTGAATGCCACAGTGGTGGTGGTGGGGAGCTGTTAGCCTCGTGCCCTGCTTGTGAGTTCCCCATGAGTGTCTGGTTGGCCTCAGAGAGAGACAAGATGCTGAATTAGAAAGGCTCTTATGTTTAGAATAGCTATATGCTAAGCAGAAAAGGACAGAAGGAAGGAATGGAAAGTGAAGCAACATGTCCACAAAACTTACTGAAGTGGGGAAGTGGCACAAAGCATTAGAATCCCCCTTTCTATCCAAAAACAGGCACTCGGTGTTTGTTTTCTAAGGAGCAGGGTGGCAGTTATTAATTTACTATATGCAATGTGATAACCAATAACATGGGAATTAACTTTCATGATGCTTGCTGGATAGATTTTGCCATAGAAACTATTGCTCTGGTCTTCAATACTTACCTGTGGATTGGCTGCTAGTAACAAGCTTACTAACCGGGGTGAATAATAGAAAAAGGTGGAGGGGATGCACCAGTATTAACTAAAGTGTTTTAAAAGTAATTTGTTTTGACAGCATTTGTACATAACTTCATGACTATCTACATGTTTTGGTTTCAAGGACAAAAATGACAGCAGAAAAGAAATTTAAAGGCTATACACACTTGCAGCAACCAACCCATTATATTCAATCACATGAATATTTGTGTGAGAAGTATCTGTGTAGTCACCCAGAAAGGAAATGGAAATATCATGTGGACTTACGTTTCTTTATTACTCAACTGTGTCTTGTAAAAAGCAGACTGGGAGTGCACTGTTCATAATGCACCTGTAAGTTTTAACAAAACATTAATGGAATGATAAAAAATGTAGAGGACTCTGGTCTGTTTGCAGATATTCTGGGAGGTGTAAAAATGACTACATTTGCTGGTAAGTTATGAATTATTTGCTCTGGTCTATCACTTTGTAGCACTTGTTAAATATTATCTTTCAGTATTCCAATTGCAAAGTGAGACATTTCTTATAATTTTTCTTACACGTTTATAAAGAAACCGTTATCATGCCAGTTTCCACATGTTATAAACTAAAAAAAGGAAGGTTGTTGCTTTTTCTGCTGCTAATTTATATACAAAGAACATAGTCAAGCCAACCTCTGGTTGGGAACAAGTGCTTACTTGTGCTTACTTTGGTTTAAACCCAAACCCATTTCGCAAGTTTAAAGCCACTTCTTTATTTTAAATATTTGTAATTACTTTTCAGCACATTTTTGCATGATGTTGTTACAGCCTCTGGAACAGATGTGGTGTTCAAAGGGGAAATCGTTCATAGATATTTCACTGTGTCACTGTGGGAAAGACGACTGATGAACTGGGAGATGCCAAGGTCCAGTTACTATACTATTAATTTTCTTGTGCTGATGTTTCCAAGCTATAACCAAGGGCACTCCATCACTCTCTTTTCTTTCTCGGTGACAGTTGGATGAAGCTGCTATCTATGTGCCCCAGCCATCTCTTCATCTGACATTTCCATCACCTGTCTCTAGTATATTTCGCTCTCAGCATAATTCCCAAGATTCTATCAAATGGCTCTTAAATCTGATTTCTTTTTTTCTTTTGCAAGAACCCAAACACAGTTCAAAACAAAATCAGAAGCACTTAGCCAAGCATCAGAGGGACATGTATTGAGTCCGCACACTAGGGAGAGGACGGGGAAAGAGTGTCTATCTATGTGCTCCTATAATGCTGCAGCACAGCTCTGAACTAAGGTGCCAGTAATGTGTGAGAATTCTGAAAGGTCACAGAATAGTTGAGGAAAGAGAAAAGCAGAAAGCTCATCCTGAACTAGAGGCACCAAGGAAGCAAAATGCACTGGGAAGATTCATCAACCAAGTCCTTGAAGCGCAGGACTAACCAGGACCATGGTTTGCTTTTTGTCCTTCAGCACTCTGTTCCATATACGTCTTCCAGTGAAAGACTGATAATAATAGGCCGATAATAGTAGTGTACCGTTCTGAAGTGCTGGAATCAGCAACTGTTGTCAAATGAATATATAAATCAAGCTGAATTCCTCCTGTTTCTCCATGAAGTGACATCAGAGTACTGGAATATCTCACTCTCTGCTGAGCGAGAGCACATTGGGTGTTAGCCCTTTAGCTCTCCCCATGTTTTTCCTAGCGAAGGGCAGCAGTGGAATATTAAGACTGAGAAGAGCTAGATTTGTCTCACAGGTTCTCACCTTGCTGTCTTGGGAGAATGCCGTGCATCTGTTTCTGTAACTTTTGCAAATGCATTTTACAGCATCATCTGTGTTTCATCTGTATTTTCTGCCTCTGGTTAATGCTTCTTCAGTACACAGAGTGTTTGCTTTGGAAATAACCTAAGAAGAATGGGCCTGCTTCATCACCCTACCCTACATTGTTCGCTCCTCATATTCTCATTGCTTATTACCTCTCAGCGAGAGGGGGAGCTTTCCAGCTGACCCCCCCCAAAGAAAAACCCCTGGATTTTTGTTTTTAGCAAAACAATACGTGCAAAAACCAGTCCACCATCTATAGTGCCGTATCCCATCTGCATGTCATAGAGTCCTGACCCAGTTAAAGTGAGTTGTGACTAAGTTCGGTTCCACAGAAAGCAGTGGGAGCTAGTCATGACAAACTTGTTCTGACAGTTTGAATGGGTTTTAGTCACAATTAACTAGCGAGATCAGAACCTGAAGTGTGTGGCGCAGGGATGTAGCCATGCTGAAAAGGAGAGAGCCATTTTTGTTTTTCAGTTCTTAGTAACTAGCTTAATGC